CTCCCTCCCTCCCTCCCTCCCTCCCTCCCTCTGTTTTTTGGTGTGGTGTTGTTACTGCTCCTGCTGTTGTTACTGTTGTTTGAGGGTTTTATTCTTGCTGTTTGTAGCTATGTAACCCAAGCTTCCCTTGAACTGGTGATTCTCCTGCCTCAGCATCCACAGTGCTGGGATTGCAGGTATTTCTCAACATGCCTAGCTAAACAGGTGATTTTCTATGTGTTTTATTCATAAGGCCAGGTGAGGCGGTATCTCTCAAGGCCTGGGATCATCTGTGGATGGGGGGGGGGGGAGATCTAAAAGCAATATACAATCCAAGAGATGCTATTACAGCAAAATTTCAGTACAAGCAATCTCTGTGACATCTTCTACACCTGTGAAACTCAATTAGGCGTTAGACCTGGAGTTCTCATAACCTTATCCCAGAATGCTTCAGACCTTCCCTTCTTATTGATGAGGTATGAATGTTCTCACAGTGATGACAGCTGCCAACATCTGCATTAACACAAAGGCTGCTTCTCACTATCTGTGAGACATTTGCAAGACAGCATCTTTCCTGATGTGGGTCAATGATGGGACAAATTGCAGAGTCCTGGACACAGGATCTCCATATTCGATGGACAGTCATAGAATGCAGTTGTGGATACAATCTTGTCAAATCCACAAGAGCTCAAATAAGTACTGTGTGTATTCATATGGTTGATCTTATGCTTTGAATGTGCTCCCCAAAAGCATGAATTCCAGACGTAATTGCAATGGAATGGTGTTAAGGGATAGAAACTAGAAGAAGCAATCAGGTTAATGGGCTCTGTCCACAACTAGATCAAAGCCACTATGTCAGGAATGGGTTCCTTGTTTTAAGGTGAGTATGGCCCTGTGCACAGGGATGTGCATGGTGGAGGGGGGGGGGTAAAGAGAGAGAAGGAGATGCATGAGTCTGTATGTTTATATGAGAGTGGTCTTGCCTGTACATACAGGCAAGTGTGGAGGCCAGAGGATACTCTCCAATTTAATTTTTGAGACAGAGCCTGTCCTGTGAGCCTGGAACTTGCCATTTTTGCTACAATGGCTAGATCAGTCGGTCTCTACCATCTCCCTCTGAACCTAGCACAGGAGCACAGGTGTATGCTGCCATGACTGGCTTCCGCGTGGGTGTTGGGGATCTGAGGTCAGGTCTCATGGTCACACAGCAAGCACTCTACCCACGGAGCCATCTCTCATATTTGGCCCCTTGCCCTGGCCCATTCTCTTGTTCTCTCTTCCTCCTTTACTTTTTCACATTCTACCAAGAGATGATGTAGCAAGAAAGCCCTGCTTGAGGGACAGTCCCTCCGTCTTGGTCTTCTCAGAGTCACAAACTGAAAAGATGAGTTTCTTTTCCTTACAAATTTCTCAATATGTTTTTCTCTGTTGTAATGGCAAGGAAAGCAAACGACCATGGAAGCTCGGTAACAGTAAGTGACCTGGTTAAGGTCACATGTGTCCCAAATGGAAAAGCAAGTTCAGACAAGAAAAGTGGTGATTCTATGGTAGAGATAAGTTGTTATAGCCACACGGATGCTAGCTTCAAAACTTCAGAGAGGTGAGACTAAGAAAAGGGGTTGGACAAAGAGCCAGCTGCAGCCCCCATGCTGACAACAGGGACTCAACGGAGAGAGGCTTGGGAGTGAGGTTACAGATGCACAGGGGAGCAAAGCATGAAATATGAGGCTGAGGAGAGACCATGGACCCCAGAGCCTGCCCCGGACAACCTCTGGTCTCTTCCACCTGAATGTCCCATCGTTCTGAGATCCTGCAGCCTTAGGCTTAGAGCCTACACCTGCTGCGCTTGTACCAGGCTCTCGTCAGCCCAAATCTCTGCCAATCCCATGCTCTACCAACGCTTCCAAGAGGGATACCTTGTGGAAATCAATGAGGTCCGTGAGGGTGGCATGGCGATTAGGGTCCACTCCCAGAAAGCTGTAGAAGTCCCCAGAGGCATCCACAAGAAAGTGCTTGAAGCCTCTCTGTAGGCGGTAGGACAGGGTGTAACCCCAGATCTTCTCACTGACCCGGACCAGAAATGCTCCCTCGGTCATATTCTCTAAAAGGTCTTCCGCATTCTCTCGGCTAATAATTCCTAATTTAAAAAAAAAAACAGAAAGGAAAAAGAGGAAAGGAAAAAAGGTTAGAATGGCCTTTGTAGGTTCTGTACTTCCTAGTCCACTGCCGAGTCATCTTCCACACCATTCTCTCTGGCTTGGTTCACAGGCCAACCATGCTGTCTGGGGTATGGAAAAGGAAGAGAAGGGCCTTAAGGGTTGACTGGTCTCCACCTGCTATGGCAGAAGTATACTGACCCAGAACCATCAGCCACAAGCCTGAGGACAGCATTCCTGCAGGAACCAGACAGGAGCATGCTTTCCTCCAAATTAAAGCACACTAATTTGGATTAATTAGGTAAGCAAGGAATTACTAATGAACTGGAATTATAGCATCTATTGATTACAAATACTAGAGAGCCTTAAAGATCAGAGGTAATGACTAGCCAGAATGATCGAGGATCATGTCACAATGACCTGGTACAGTAGATGAAACCTGAATAGTGTTTTCCCATAAGGCACGAGGGTCCAACCTTGTGACATTGGAACACAACATTGTCCTCAAAAAAAGCTCACTCTAAAACAATACACAAGCATTATGCTTTGAGTATGCTTACAAATTTCTCCACAGCTGTCCTGGGGCATGTGCAGCCTCTGTGCATAAAAGAAGCATCCACTGGATGCCTGTGCACACTGGGTGCAAGGTTCCTTAGTGGGACAAGTAATGAAATGCCACTTCACACCAGGACCAGAACTTCCTAAGGGGCTTCAACCTATGCCATGTGGTACTGCCCCTGTATGTAGTTACTTGGAATTACCTATGCATTGTCATCATAGAAATGCTTCCATAAAAGCTGGGTGGTGGTGGTGCACACCTTTAATCCCAGCACTTGGCAAGTGGATCTCTGGGAGTTCAAGGACAGCCTAGTCTGCAGAGTGAGCACCAGGACAGACTCCAAAGCTACATAGAGAAACCCTGTCTAAAAAAAAAAAAAAGAAAGAAAGAAAGAAAGAAAGAAAGAAAGAAAGAAAAAATAGAAGAGAAAAAGAAAAAAAGAGAGAGAGAGAGAAGGCGTGACAACTGTATACTCTAATCTCAGAAAGGAGGCAAGAAGAGGACAAGGAAGGGGATAGGGATAGTACTTAAAACTGAGTGGCTGAGAATTATCAAAGACATACGGCAAAGCTGCGCAAAGACATTTACTATCACCGTGATCAACCAGGGAAAAAGGACAGATTACCAAAAAAGACCAAACTGTTAGGGTAACTTCTCAGTTGCAATAATAGAAGCCATAGGAAATTAAAAATAATATACCTGGTATACTAAGAGCAAAACAACTATATTTAATAAGACAACGTTTCAAGGAGATGAGCACAACAAAGTCGTCCTCAGAAAAGGGGGAGTTGATTACATGGTATACTTTAGGGGGAAGGGAGGGATCTTGGGCAGAAAATGTAAGGCTCAGGAAGGAAGGGGGAGCACATGCTGTGGGTGAGTCAAACACAAACAGAAACCAACCTTACAGCACGATGAGAAGCGACAGAGGGTTTTTAAAAAGATCCGTTATAATGGATAATGAAAATGTGGTAGCTACCACACAATGGAATTTTATTCTGCTGTGAAGAAAATGAAATGATGGAATTTTGTAGGGAAATGGATGCTTAGAAAATGTTATACTCAGTGAAACAACACAGTCTCAAAAAGTCAAACATTTGAGTTTGCCCCACTCAAATGTGGATCCTCGCATCAAATTTTTAGATTTCTGTGTTTAATTTGGACCAACAACAGAATCCAGGAAACTAGAAGGGGGCTATTGGTGAGGAGGAGGAAAAAAAGACCTGAAAACAGGAGCTATCCTGTTTTGGTCTCTGCTTCTGTGATAAACACTGTAACTTGAAATGGAAGATGTCTCTTTTGGCTTAGCTACAGCCCATCACTGAGGGAAGCCAGGACAGGAACTCAAGGCAAGAACCTGAGGCAGAAAGCCAACAAGGAGGCATGGACAGGTGCTACGCACTGGCTCGGTCCCTGTGATTTGCTCACCCTGCTTTCTTATACCACCAAGAACCACCTAACCATGGATGGTTGGACCCTACTCTATAAATTTGCTTACCAGCCAATTTGATAGAAACATTTTCTCAATTGAAAATCCTCCTCACAGATAACTAGAACTAGTGTCAAGTTGCAAAAAAAAAAAAAAACTAACCAGGACAGAGGTATATTAGAACAAATGATATCAAGGTATAACGTGAAATAATGGGGAGGGAAGTTTAGGTGGGTAGAGAGATGGTAGGGTAGGGCAAAGAGGGAAGTGGTGGAGAGCTAACTAACACTAACGATGTTTGAAAAAAACATAAGAAAACCTATTTTGTATTTCTTACTACACACACACACACACACACACACACACACAAAGGAGTTTAATTGGAATTACCCTACATAAGGGATAATGCTCCTTCAAGAAGCCACAAGTTGCCAAATAGAAATCCCCGTCAGGGCTATCCAGGAAGGTCCCAACACAGAGCAGGCTGTCATCAGAGGGGCAAGTAAATTTCCTAACCTGCTGAGCCATCTCACGGCCTGCTAATTACTAGTTTAAATTAGAACGTAAAAAGTATGCCTATTTACAGGGTACCATGGGGTTATGTGACATCTTTATATAGAAGTGTCACTGGTAAGAAGATTATGTGAGTTTATGTAGTCGTTAACAGGAAAGTAAGGTGAGATTGTTTATCAAAATGTTCAAGTTAGGGGCTAGTAAGATGGCTCAGTAGTCAAGAGTGCTTGCTGCTCCTGCAGAGGACTAGAGACGGTTTCCCAGTGGCCCACAATTGCCTTAAACTCCAGTTCCAGAGGGACCCAATGCCCTCTTCCCTGGGCACCCATACACACATCACACATACATACATATAAACATACATACATATATACATACATACATACATACATACATACATACATACATACATACATACACAGAGAGAGAAAGAAACCAGTGGGCTCCATCCCTAGCACCACATACACTGGATTTGATGGCATAAGTCACAAGTTTATAACTTTACCCTTTAGAACATGGAACCAGTTGTGGGATTACAATTCCAGCTAGTCATTTATTCTGGGCTACTTACTGATGGCCCAGGTTCCAGACACATTCCTAGACATGAGGAAAGAAGAAAAAAGCCAGAAAGTTGTTGCTCTCATAGATCTTAGATTTGCAAAAATATGATAATTTTAGTATAAACTACTGTTGAAACCGTGCATTTAGGTCTCACAGCTAGTGAGTGGCAGAGGTGGGACAGAGGAACAGTCTGTTTGTCAGTCTCTTCTTTTCAGGTATAACCCAGAGCCTCCCATGCAAAAAACTGGAAGACTGTTGAGCAAGGTGTGGATTAGCATAGCATGACCAGTTCCTACCCCAAGAAGGCACAACCAGGAAGTACATAGAGGCCTCTCAGCTGGCTGAGTTCTATGTGAGCCAGGCCCAGGTCTCTAGGCACAGACTGATAGGAAGACTAACCACCCTTGAAGACACAATGCCCTGAGGGTGCAATGTGGAGAGGAGACAGCTATGAGAATCTACAAATAAGAAACTGTACCCATCTTTGAAGTCTTTCCAACACAGACAGACTCACTACCAGTGACCGGGAGATTAGGTTCAGTAACGCCCGTGTATTCGAGGAAGGGGATTCCAAGATCCACATCCTTTATATAACATGGCTCTGTATGTGCACGTACCTGTGAAATCCCTCTGCAATGGGTGCTTTAAGTCATCTCTAGGTGGCTCATACTATCTGATACAATGACATATTAGGCAACAATAAGTCTGTGCATGTTTTATATAGATGAAACCTTTGTAGAATAACTACATTTCCATTCTCAGTTGGTTGAATCCATGGATACAGAACCCACAAACATGGCGGTCACACAGGACATATTAAGTGAAAAAATATCAGGGGCTCGTGAAGGCTGTGACCACAGCGGGAAGTGGAATGCTGTTGCCACCAAGTGCAACACAAACCCAGCTGATCCTGTTCTCCTTTATACACTTTGAATGTCACGGCTCCAGCAATAAACTAAAGCAAGCAGCCTCTGTATCTACATGGACCCTTAATGAGAATGACAGAGAAGGGGTTCACCTGAATCTCCCTGCAGGTGTGCAGAGCCCAACAGCTACAGCACCCTTTATTGGGCATCGCTGGAAAATGATAGGGACACTACCAAGCAACAAGCCCTTCCTTGGAGTCGCCGCTTTGCCCAGGGTTACTGACTGCTGCAGAATGACTTTGCAAGAGCAGGGGTGTGTGCTGAGTTAGAAAACAAGCCAAGCTAACTCCGCCTTTCCACCAGCAAGGCCTTACTCTCCCAAGGCTGGTATTTGCAGCTAGCAAGCCAGTGAAGGGGGCCAGCAGCATCCAGCTTCCCCCATTGCTGCATCTCAGTACAGACCTTAAGTGAACACATCCTGACTCCACTAACTCTTGCCCCAAATCCCACCTGGATGCTATCAAACACCATGTGTAAATTGTCCACTATCAAAATATTTGCTCATCAAAAGGAGGGCACGTCTTAGACCCAAAACTTGCCATGCTCGGATATACCCATAAATCTGCCAGGTAACACAGCCTCAAACCCAGCTCAGGTCTCCATCTCTTCCTCAACCCCAATTCCATCCTAGGAAATCATTAGCTGGGAACTGAAGCCACCCAAGTAACCAAATGAGCTCTTTTTATTTCCGTCAGAGCTTCACTCTGAGAAAGAAAGACGCGCAGGCAGGCCGGCTGCCCTGGTTCCCCTTTTATGAGTCTCCATTTATCTAATGTGCATATTTCTTAAAGCTTTCGCTGCGGCTTCGCCTCACCGGCTGACAACTCCCCTATTACTGCTTAGCTATTTCTCATTCATTTTTGTGACTTCCCTTTCTTATTGCCACACTTTGCAGACAATATCATTAAGGAGGCTGGAGTTATTAAGCTCTTCATTCTCAACGGTTTCCTCAAAGCATCTGAAAGCCACAGAGATTGTGATCAATGTGTTCAA